GTTCCTGCCCTACACCCCCATACCCAACTGCTGCAGCTCAGAGTTTGATTCAGCATTCTGTTACAAAGTCTTTGTAATTTTTCCCTGCTACAAACAGGTTTAGAAATGAACATGATATATATGCTTGAGAATAATTGTACTCTTGTCTATGGTTGTTAACAAATTACTTGGTTTTTTATAAGTTGAAATGCTGCAAGCTAACATTGTTAAATATATTCTACAGCAAACTCTTCCAACTTGGAATATTCTGAAGGACCAGATGTAGATCCTCAGATTCAAGCAGCTGTAAAGAAGATGAATAAACTTGACACAATACTGGCAAAAAAACATTTTAAGGAGAGATCAATTAAAAAACAAGGTGAAGAAATGAGGGCAAAGCTCTGGGATGAACTTCAGGTTAGAAGTGTTCTGCTTATTTTGTAAATAGTGTATCTTAGAATACTGTCTCACAGAATTTATCATGTTTCACAGATGCATTGTTTTATTAAATAACTCACAGTTGGCTGATTAAAGTGAAGAGATGGATCTTTCAATAGGTTTTAATATGTATTGGCTAGGCAGGCTTTGAAAGAAGGCTGTGGTCCTTAAAAATTGTGTCACCAATAGCCAAATATACAGCTGTCTAGATGTCTAGACTAGCTTAGTCTTATGCTTGAGCTCGCTACTTGCAGGTATGATAAGGTGTGACAAGAGGTAACATCTGTGAATCCAGACCTAAAAGCGTTTATTCTGCTCTAGTGTGACTGTTTTCAGGCCCATCTATTTCAGTACTGTCTGCTGAGGAAATTAGAGATGCCTCCTTAAGAAGGCATAAGAATGCTACAGCATTGGTCTCTAGCAGTTAAACTTTAAGCCTTGAAACATGAGAGCTGGTATTTCCTCTGAGTTTAGGTATTATATAATTTCCATCAATACAAATGTCAGTTGCTAAAAAGACACGATTGCAGTTTGTTTGACTGCATCTCATAATTTCAGTGGATTTGGATTCAGAGACATATACACATTACAGAACTTCTTTGTCTTGTGAAACGTGTCTCTGTGTAAGTGACAATATATAACAGAGGCTTCAAAGTTCTACCATGCCTTTACTATAACTTTAGGAGATGTTCAGGTAGCCTCAAGAAGGAAGTAAAGTGGTAAGTAAATGTTGCCACTGAACAAGGAATTTTTAATAGGGTCTGAAGTTCATTAGTCCTGATAAGCAGACAATTTATTTTGCTTTAAAGTATTTACTTTAAAGTAAATATATGCATACATCTGTATATATATGCTTTATTTCTTTTCAATAGTCTATCAGAACCACTGGAAGCCATGAGGAGACAGAAAACACAAAACTTTTCTTAGCTTTGATCTCATCACAGCAGGATACAGTTGGTAAGTAAGAAAGAGAAGTAAATACCCTGATATAATTCTTCTCTATTTTGATTAATAATCATATTTTTGTTGGATACTAGAAAAATAAAGCTTTCAAACCTTTACAATAAAATAATATTTGCATGAAAAAGTACATGGAGGGAATATTTGAAAAATTAACTGAAACAATTTTTACATTATCAGAAATGTAGAAGTTGTACTTTAATTTTGTTTATAGAAACTGCATTTATTTTATAGAACTGGCTATTCTAGAATGGTAGAAATCCAGGATAAGTTAAACTTACATCTTTTAATTTGATGGCAAAAACACAGATGGTTTCACAAAGGATGCATGACTGATAACACTGGTAAATTAATGATAACAGGTGTAGGGA